TCAGGGCACCCTGTCCCTTTGCTAGTGTCCCCTGCCCGCTCCAGCTCTCCAGGTCCTCCTGGACCCATCAGGTTGGCAGCTTCCTCCCCCCTGGCACCCCTGCCACCTGTTGCCTCTGCGTGTCTGTCCTCCATCCATGGGCATGGTGCCTGGAAGGAGTGCTGCTGTGTCTTCTTGGACCCATGTGGCAGAGCAGGTGGCCTCTATCCATGGAGGGAGGAGGGGAGAATGAGGCAGGGTCCCTGACCTGCCCACAAGCTCTGGGTGGTGAGCAGGGCACAGTTACCGCTGCTTGGCAGGTGCCCATCAGGCACCTGGGCTTCATTGCTGTGCCCTTGTTAGTGGGGACTAGCAGGTGTGTGGCCTGGCCTGATTTGGTTTCTAGCCCTGGAGGGAGCCTGGAGGAGGGAAGAGACTGTGGTGGAGAGTGGATTACGGGATGCCAGCCACCTGCAGGTAAGGGACAAGGGTCACAGTGTGGGAAGGACAGGCAGGCCCTGCTGTGGAGTGGGCATGGGCAGGAGCCAGAGGAGCCAGCAAAGGTGGGGGCGCAGCAGACAGGAGGCCAGGGAGCCCCACAGAAGGCAGATGGGCAGAGGACGGAGGCAGGGCCTCTGGGCCTCAGAGGGGTGCCTGTCCTCCCCCAGAGCTCTGGGATCCAGCAGAATGAGGACTGAGGGGACTGTATGGGTCAGCGTTCTCTACAGGAACCCATCAACAGGAAGCACAATGATCAAAGGGGATTTCCTGGGTTGGCTTGGTGACCAGAGGCTGGACAGCGCCCAGGTTATCATCTGGGGGCTGCGGAGCTGGACGAACAGCAGCTGCTCAGCCCAAGAGGCTGAAGCCTCAGAACAAGAGGGACCAACAGTGTGACCCTCCTCTGAGACCCAAGGCCTCTGGGAACTCCCTGGAGAATCACTGCAGAGTGACTTCAGGAGAGTGAAGAAGTCAGAGTCCAGTATCCTCAGGCGGTGGCAGCCGCAGTCAAGAACCTGTCAAGGAGAACCGAGCCGCCTCTGCTGCGGCTCCCTGCTCTTCAACTTTCATTCCATCCAAGCCTCTGGCCTACTGGCAGGTGCTGCCCACGCTTAGAAGGGTCTCCTCTTCTGTTGCTGTCCCCCACGCCAGGCATTCCTCGACACACCCTCACTCACACCCAGAAGCCTCGTGATCCAATCAGCTCGACAGTTCAGATTACCTGCTCAGGGCCTCCGACATTCCGTCTGCCCTCGGCCCCTCTGTGGGTCCCCCTGGAAGCAGAGGCCCCTTGGGCACAGGAGGCCGGGGCCACAGGGAGGAGTGCAGGGGTCAGCTTGTGAGGTGTCTGGGCCTCAGCCCCTCTGGGCAGCTCTGGGGTTGCTGCTTGGCCTCTGGAGGTTCTCATGGCTTTCCCAGCTGAGCCTTCACTGTCCCTCCACTGCCCTGCCCTCCTTCCCCACTCCCCGGGTGCTTTGCTCAGTGCCTCTTCAAAGAGCTGCCAGGCCCTTACTCATAGGGGACAACAGCTCTGGGTCCTGTCCCCGACCCCCACTGCCTTTGGAGAGGGCTGGGCTCCCTCTTCCCCTGGCCCTCCGGGACAGGGCACACAGTTGCTCCCTGGGAGAGGTCCTCACCAGAAGCAAGGATGGGGACACTCAGGTATAGCCATGCCCCAAGCTGAGCCTCCCAAGTGGAAGCCTAGCCACTTTGCGGACCACAGGGAACTCCCAGCCTCCCCTCTGCCCCACCAACCCAGAGGAGGAGGGACAGTCCGGCCCCCAAAGCAGGTGACAGAAACACAGGTGACTGCCACCTCTAGTTCCCAGGCTTGTCTCTTAAGTGCCAGCCCCTTTGGGTCCGTGGACCACACTGACCTGGGTGCGGGTGGCTTGGTGCCTTGCCAGGCAGGGTGGGAGTGCAGCTAGCATCCCCAACACGAGTGCACGCACAGGGCTCAGCCCGAGCAGACACTCCTTCCAGCCAAGCCAGCAGTTCTGGCTCCTGCTCACTGGCGCGTGGCTCTGCATCGTAAAAGTGACCAGGTTCCCGCCTCTGCCTGGTGTGCCAGCGTCCTAGCTGTTTTTGCTCTTGGCTGGAACAAGCGGCGGAACCAACATGCATGTGCGCGTGTCCTTATGAACAGACCTTCTCCTTGGAGCTGTGGCTTTGTAGAGGTGGCAGAGCCAGGGCCAAGGAGAGGTGCTGGCTGTGGCTCCCACAAGTGCTGTCAGGGTCTCTCCTGGAGCAGCACAGCCCCCTGGCCAGGCCAAGGCTCAGCCTCGCAGAGTCAGCCGGTTATGGCCGTGGGCTTGTTTCTGTCTGTTTGCGTCTTCCCAGAGCAGGACGGGGTTACAATCGTGCTCAGTCCCACTTCTGTGACTGACCTGTCCTTTATCTTACCAACCTGCCCGTGGGTTGGGGGTGTGCAGTGAAACCTCGCCGGCCTGGTGACGTGACTGCCCATGTTCTCTTTCACTCTTCTGTTTCCCTCTTGACTTTGATGATAATACACTTTATTTTGCCACAAAGGATTTGAAATTTTACATGGTTTCGACTTTCTGTCTTTATATTTTTTTTTTAAAGAGAGAGAATTTTAATGTTTATTTTTTGGTTATCGGCGGACACAACATCTTTGTTTGTACGTGGTGCTGAGGATCGAACCCGGGCCGCACGCATGCCAGGTGAGTGCGCTACCGCTTGAGCCACATCCCCAGCCCTGTCTTGTCTCTATTGTCACGGGATTTTCTGTCCTGCTGAGAAGTGGTTCCCTCACCTCTGATTGTGAAAAAATAGTCTTAGGTTTTCTTCCTCAATTGTTGTCGTCTTTCACTCTCGGTTCTGGCTGTGGGAACACAGCGGGTTTGCTCTGCCTTGGGCCTGAGTGTGTGCCCACCTGCCGGGGCCGGTTTTCATCTAACGTTATTCTGTGTGTGCCTGTGAGGCTGTTTGTGTTCGTCAGCTTTTGATGCTGTGGGTAAAACATCCGACAAGAACCACTTAGAAGAGGAAAGATTTACTGTGGCTCACAGCTTCAGAGGATTCAGTCCATGGTTGGTTGGCTGCATTGCTCTGGGGCTGAAGTGAGGCAGGACATCCTGGTGGGAGGGAGAGGGTGGGGGGGGGAAGCTGAGAGAGAGACGGAGGAAGAGGGAGAGAGGGTCAGGGACAGGAAAACCCTTCCAGACTCACTCCCAGTGACCCACTTCTTCCAACCATGTCCTGCGCTCTAGTTTCCTTCCCTCCCCATAATCCATTCAGCCACAAAGGATTAACCCATGCATGAGCTTGGAGCCTCACGATCCATTTCCCAAAAGCTCCTTCTCTGGACACTGCTGCACTGGGGGCCAGGCTTTCAACACAGGAGCCTCTGGGAGACTTGCAGATCCACACTGTGACACCGTTGCTGGGCCATGAGCTGTGAACTGGTGCCGGAGTGAAGCAGTGCGAGCAGCCCCCATCCAGCCCCTGGTCGATTTGGGGGTGCAGAAGTCTAGCCCCTACCCAGTGTGGGGTGATTCTGAAGGGCCATTCCTGTGGGACTGTCCTTACCTGCCTGAGTCACTGGGCACTTCTCCCTGGCCAGTCCTGCTGCTCTTGGTGGCTCCTAGGTGTTGTTCCCAGAGGACCCCCACATTCGTCCAGCCCAGGTCAGGTTTTCTGGGAGACACACACTGGGCTTCAAGACACTGGGCAGGAGACTAGGGACTGGACCAGGGCAGGTAAGTATCAGGGCCACCTTGCTGGTGGTTGGCACAGAATGATTGCCCCTCCCTTGGGGAACCTGAGTACCATGTCAAGGGAAGGAAGTGCCCTAGGTGGCACTCACCTCAGGAGCCTGAGGGGCGGGGGCAGAGCAGGAAGTGCAGGAGCACGGACTGGACTGGATGACAGATGCTGGGTGCCCGGGATGCCAGGGGACTGAGGATGGTCTCTGATTCAAGGGCAAGTGTCCACCCAAAGAGGAATAGTTATGCACATTGTTGGATCATCATTATTGTGGAGTGTTATGCTGTTATTAAAAAGAATAAAATAGACCTGTGCTTGCAGGCAGGAAACTGTCCATATTGCTGAGTGAAAGGACTTGCAGAACCCAGGTACAGCATGAAGGTTGCTGTGGAAGGCATGTGTGGTAAAGTGCAAGATGTCTGCAAGTGTGGATGCCAGATTGTTAAGGTGGTCACCCTGTTGTGGGGGGTGGGGAGAGGAGAATTTCACCTTTTCTGTGATACATATCTATACAGCTGGGATTTAGAAACAAGCATATATTACTTTGGCAATAAAATAAAAGAGTTTTAGTGCTTGCAACAAAAGTGTGTGGCTTCTTCACTCTGGGAATCGGACTAAATGTGACTTAGTCTTCAGGGAAACTAGAAAAGGCATTAATTCTATTAATTAATGCATCAGTGGAATCCACCTCAGCAAAGATGTCTTAATGAGGTGCCTGGGGCATCCATTATTTATCTTATAAACAGCTCCAGGCCCTGCTGTGTCAGGCTGAGGGCTGGGTGCTGAGATCACAAACAGCACACACTCCTGGCTGGCAGCAGGGCCCTCCCCTCTCCCCGGGGGTGACCTCCGTCCCATTCTCATTAACCCAGCTCCTCCGCTTGGCGCCCCTCCCCCACCCCGGGCTTCGTGCGCTCCAGGATCCTGGCAAGTGGATCCTCACTCTAGCTCAGACTTCAAACTCACCCCCCACCTCCTTTCCTTAGCGCTCACAAATGTTGCTCGTGGCACAGCTACTGGCAGAGTCTGGTCTCCATAAGCCGACTGGCTGTACTCCCGCTCCCTTCCCCGGTTTCCGTGCAGCATCTCCATCAATGTAGCTTGGCCTGGTCCAGCGTGGCCCTCACCTAACCCACCTAACCTCCTGCTCCTTCCCCTGTGCGCGCGCCTGGAGCTGTCCGCGGTGCTGACCGCGGGCGCGCCCGGCGTTTGGCCGATGCGCACGCGTCCGGGCGGGGCGCGCGGGACTCGGCAGCGCCGCCACTGCGCAGCCTCCCGCGCGGTCCGGCCTGCGCGCTGCGCCCGGAGACTCTCGCTGCCCGGCTCCCGGCCCCGCCGAGCGCCCCTCGGGCCAGCGCCCGCAGACTCCCGGGCCTGCGGCCTCCTCCCACCACCTCTCGCCCGCGCCCGGCCATGGCGCTCAACAATTTCCTCTTCGCGCAGTGCGTCTGCTACTTCCTGGCCTTCCTGTTCAGCTTCGTGGTGGTGGTGCCGCTGTCCGAGAATGGCCACGACTTCCGCGGCCGCTGCCTGCTCTTCACCGAAGGCATGTGGCTGAGCGCCAACCTGACGGTGCAGGAGCGCGAGCGCTTCACGGTGCAGGAGTGGGGCCCGCCGGCCGCCTGCCGCTTCAGCCTGCTCGCCAGCCTCCTCTCGCTGCTGCTGGCCGCCGCGCACGCCTGGCGCACGCTCTTCTTCCTGTGCAAGGGACACGAGGGGTAAGTGGGGACGCTCGGCCCCAACAGACGCAGCCCTCAGGCCGCGCAGGTGCCCCTTCCGTGCCCTCAGCGTTCCAGGCCCTCCTATCCACAGGAGCACGAGCACTTCCAGGGTTCCCGCAGCCCAGAGACCTGCAGGTGTCAACACTGGGCCCTCACCACCTACGCACGCAAACACAGGGGCCATGATGATCATCCGTACAAGGCCAGTGCCTCCTTCCCCTCCCCACAAGCTTCCGGTCATCGACCCCCCTTGTGGTGCAGATGTTGTGGTGCAGATGTTGCACAGTCATGGCCGAGCTGGCCAGGCCCTTTCAGGCCTTCCTCTGCTGGCGCAGCCAGGCTCCCACTCTCCAGAACTGGGGACAGCTCCCAGCCAGATTCTGTGCCTGTGCTTTGCTCTGCTCTCTCCTGAATGGGGGAAGGGCCCAGGCCTTGGTGGCCAGGAGAGTGGGGGTGCCCTCCAGCACTCCCCATCATCCTGGGACAGAAGCGTGCTGGGGGGATCCTGGGCAGGCACACCCTTGGCTGGGGGCAGGGCAATGAGGGAAGGCCCTGCTTCCTGGTTCCACTACCTCCCTTCCTCTGCTACCATTGTCCTCCTCACCCTGTCCTGCCCTGGCACTACCCTGGAGCTGGGGGAGGAGGTTCACTGGGGCTGGGTGGGTTCCTCAACCAGTGGCATCTTATTAACCCCCACCCACTTGAGGCCTGCTGGGCCTGGGAGGAGCCAGGGTGCCTGTGTGTGAGGGACAGTGAGATCCAGGCCTTCAAACTTTGCCCCGCCCCCATCTGTCACTTGTTGGCAGGTTTTAGTGGCTTCTCCCTCTGCAGGGAGGTGGGAGATGGGCAAGGACTCTGGGGATGTGGGGGTGGGCAGGAGTGGGGCCAGCAGGACTCCTGCTGCCCACCCTGAGAGCTGTCAGTGTGGCTGTCACACAGAGAGGCAGAGAGAGAGGATGAAGGGGGCTCCTGGGGCAGAGAGTGGGGCCAGCAGGCTGTGCCTGGGTGGGGCTGCAGGACCTGGAGGAGGGGTGCAAGTCCTAGGACCCCAGGTGTGGGAGTGTCCTGCAGCTGCTGTAACCAAGTACCACCAACTGGGGGCTTCAGGCCCCTCTTCTCTCCCGGGTCTGGAGGCTGGATGTGCAGAATCAAGGTGTCTGCAGGGCCCCTTTCCTTAGGAGGGCCCTTCCTAAGTGCCTTCCAGCTTCGGCTGCTCAGCAACCCTCCTTGTTCCTTGGCTTGGGGCTGTCACTGCTTTCTGCGTCTGTCTTCACATGGCTTTCTCTCCGTTTCTTGGTCTTCCCTTCTTCTCATGAGGACATGGTCACTGGATTTAGTACCCAGGATGATCTCATTCTCAATCCTCAACTTAATGACACTTTTAAAGACCCTATTTCCAAGTAGTCACAGGTACCTGGGGCTAGGACTTGGACATAGCTTTCTGGAGACACAGTTCACTCCACTAAGATTCTGCACACAGGGCCTGCAGGAAGCCAGATGTCAGCTGGGGAGGCCTCCAAGTGCTGAGGGTTTGGGGCCCCAAACTCTGGGCTGTGAGGCTGGGGTCTGCCCAGGGTGAGCCTGGCAGGTCTCCTTCTCTCTCAATTCCTCAATGGCTAGGGTCCCGAGGAGATGTTTGAGATGTCACCTTCACCCACATCACCAAACCAAGCCTTACCCTGTCAGCCTTCTGCAGGTCCAGGGGGTAGAAACGTCTCTGGACAGGAGCTGGGGCTGAGGAGGGGACATGGGAATAGTCAGAGGAGGGGATGCCCCAGGTCCTGGGGTCCCTCCTGCCTGGGCCTCTGGAGGTAGAGGGTACAGGCCATGGGGGGTCAGCCACTGCTCAAGCACATCCTTCCAGCCTTTTGGGCCTCTGCAGGAGAATTGGCCCCAGGGTGCTCATGGGCTGGCCAGGGCTGACAGGAGAGCAGGTCTCTAGACAGGACTCTGCTTTGTGGCCACAGCAATGGGTGATTTCAGAGAGGCGGGGCGACCTTCTGAGGCTGAGGGACAGGCGAGGGAGTGAAGAGACCCAGAGCTTGCAGGGCAGGGATCTGTCACACAGGGAAGCTCATTCTGCATGACTTAGGCAGCAGACCCCGGGAGCCCCGGCTTCTGTCTTGTCATCTTGTAGAAGATGTCCACCTGCCCTGTGGAATGGCCAGCATCGCCCACTTTAAATGTGGAAACTGAGGCATGAGTTTCCAGGTTCTCCCGGGCTCTTGCATGGAGTCATTCCTGAGGTCCTGAGTAGCATCACTGGCTGAAAGGCAAGCTGACCAGCCCACAGTGGGATTTAGGAAACAGATGGCTGGGTGGTCAGGGCACTCCGAGGAGGGCCACATGGCTTGCATGCACCAGGGGCAGACCCAGGCTGCTTTTGCTGGTAGAATCTTGGGGCCTCTCTGCTCTAGTGGTTGGATTCGTGTCCTGCCTGGAGTGACCCCTCTCCAGTTTTTGTGTGGGCAGCCATGGTTGGTCCAGCCTTCTTTCCTCCAGCACATAATGTCCCATCAGGAGCTATTGGCTAAGGCCACAGGGCTTTTGGCTGCCTGCCCTCCTCTTGGCCTAGTGCACAGTCTAGATGGTGGTCAGCTGTGATGTCAGTACTCATCTGAGTTCTGTAGGACTTGAGTAAAGCTTTTGCAAGCCATTCCAGGCTGAGGGCATCAGTCTGAGGGGACCCTGGTGGGGTGAACTCAGGGCAGGCATCTTATTTGTTTCTGTGTCCTCAGGGCTGGGTGCAGGGCCTGGTGTGTGGGAGTCATCAAATGATGTTTGCTGAGAGGTATCAGCAAGACGCTTGGGTCCTGAGGTGTCCTGCCCTGGGGGCACACAGCTGGTCCTGTAGTCCTTGTAGATTCATGACTTAGCTAGCCTAGGGGTCAGCCCTTCAGACCTGCTGTGTCAGTAAGTTCTGGCCTCCTGAACAGCTTGGGTCTGCAGAGGCCAGCAATGGACGAGGTGGTCAACCCAGAGCAGCACCTCCAATGCAGGCGAGCACAAGTGCTGGGTCAGCAAAGGGACTTGGGACAGCTAAGGGGCTAGGGCAGGCATCTACAATGAGCTCGTGTGGTGGGCAAGGCTCTCAGGGCCATCAGTACTCTGTCAGTCTCTGGTTTCTGAGGTCAGCACACGCACTGCTTCTCCCAAGGCGAGGCAGCCACCTTGAGGCCCTGGCTTCCCTCTGCCAGCACCGAGGCAGAGCCTGGGGCCTGTTGAGGGGCCCTGGGCTGGTCCTGAGCTGTGGGTCTGGAGCATCACCCCAGAGCTCTGGGCTGAGTCGGTGGCACCTGTATCTTTGGGGGTCTTGCCTGCAGGGCAAATGGCAGGGCTGATGTGGGCTGTGGGCCTGGGCTGGGGCAGCTCTGCCGAGAGGAACCCTTTGCGCCAGGCTTGGCAGCAGCCTGTGACTGGCTGGGGAGCAGGGGGTTAAGACAACCCATCTGCCTGCCCACACCTGTCGCTCAGCCTTCAAATTGCTCCCGGCTTCCCAGGGAAGCCGTCACCATGGAGACGGCACATCCTAGGCTAGGCACCCTGAGAGGCAGGGGGAGAAGATATGTTAACCCTGTGTGTGCTACACTCCTCCTTCCACGGTGTCCTGTCCTGGGTTTGTGTGTTGGGGGACAGGGTGGGGTGACATTGTGACCCTCCATCCAGATGAGGCTCCACATATATCCAAATCTTCAAAAATCTGGAAAGCCCAGCAGGCTCCGTGGGAACCCACCAGGAGTGGCAAGATAGCGGAGGAGGCTGTCAGCAGTGGCTCTGACTGGGCCTTCCTTGCCTCCTGGGGGCTCTGAGTCCGGCCATGGCAGGAGAAAACCATGATGCTGAAGTGTCTGGCGTCTGCAGATCATCAGAGTCTCTGGCTGTTGGAGCCTGTGTGTGAGCATCCTCAGTGTTGGCCAGGGACAGGGGCAGGGACTGCAGGGCCCCTGTGCATCCCAGATGTGTTGTACCAAGGGATTCGGGGACGGGCTCAGGAAGACCCTGCACAGGAGCTCCAGCCCGTGGGAAGTGCTCCCCAGGCCCACCTCCCACCCCGCCTGGAATTCACTGCACAGCTCAGGGGCTGCTGTCCCATCCCCACTGGGGAGGCACAGATGTGGTGCTGGTCTGTCAGTTTGTCTGGCCTACTGTCTGCACTGTGGCCAGCCCAGCCCTGCAGAGACCAGCAGGGGGCAGCAGCAGCTGGGATGACCTGTCTGGGAGTTGGGAATGCCAGGTACCTTGGTGGTCCTTGGGAGGACCGCAGAGTGCTGTCCAGCAGGTGGAGGGACGAGTGTGTCCTGGCACAGGCTGAGTCCTCACCCTCCTGCTGTCCACTGAGCTGGATTTTTGTGCCAAAGGCAGGGCTCTTGCTTGGCTCTGTCTGTGGAGGCCAAGTCCCTGCCTGCCCCTGGCCACCCTGGCCTCCTTGGCTGGAGCAGAATAGCCAGTGCAAGTCTGCATGGGGGTGAGCCCCGGGTGACCGTCCTGCTGTCCTCCATGAGCCGTCCTCCAGCGGGCCAGGCCCCTGCTCCCCCAGCTTGCTCAGTCCCAGGCTGCTCTGCACAGGGTGCAGCAGTTCTGAGCCCCAGTCTCCAGGCACCTGGTGCCCATGGGTGACTGCACTTCCTGCAGCCCAGTTTCTTGGTGGCAGCGCTGACTTTAGCCCTGGACATAGCTCCAGATGAGCACTGAGGGCTGGGAGGGCAGTGGGCCATTCACAACAGGGGATCTGTCTTGGGAGGCGTGGGCAGGGAGTGAGTGTCCCTGGGAGTGGGGCCCTGGGTTACCTGGTGGACAGCACCTGCCTCCCAGCAGGGGTGGGAAGGCGAGTGAAGAGCCATTGTGGGGCGAGCAGGCCGGGCCACAGGGCAGCGTCCACCCAGGGTGGGGTCTGTCTGCTGCCAGTGTCCGTTGTGCACCTGCAGGTGGGATGGGACTCGACTCGCTGGGCCCTTGGTCGGAAGCCTGGGTGGAGGCCTGGTCTCCCATCTGGGTGCCTGCCGGTCCTGCTTGCCCTGCTCTTGCTGCTGTGACTGCTGGGTCACAGCCCATGGCTTTAAGAGCACTGCGTCCTCGGGCACCTGTCTCCTCAGGGCTGGGGTCCAAGCCTCCCATCCTGGGGCTCGGCTGCTGGCCCAGTAGCCACTGATGCGGGTGGCCCCTGGTAGCAGTGCTGTGGGATCGTTGCCGAGACTTCATAAGCCTGGTGACACCTGCCTTGAGCTGGGTACAGGGACTGGGTTTGTCACTGGTGTGTCACCTCCTGGGCAGAAGAACCTCAGGCTCCTGTTCCAGCACAGGGCCTGGCAGAGGCAAGAGGAGGGCGCGGGGAGGGAGGGCACAAAGCAGGCTCCCAGGGGCATTGCCCATCTGCTTGCCTGGGTAGCACCTGCCACGCTGGGGGCCACAGCCCGACTTCCTGGCTGGGATGCCACGTGGATTCCTGGTGGTCCCAAAGCCAGGTTGCTTAGAGTCTACACATGGACAGCACCAGTGGGCTGTAAGCCTGTGGCAGTTTGGAGGTGGACAGGCCCTTTCTGGCCACCCTGCTCCTTGCTGCTGTCCTACATGAGGGTATTGCCTGTGAGGGCCCCACTGGGGACGGTCCCTGTCCTCCACCCCCTGGCACCTTAGTGGGCAGCTGACCTGAGGCTCGCCTAAGGGACTTTGAATCTCAGGGGCTTCTGGATGGTGGATGTTCTGGGCACAGGTCTGGTGGCGTGGGTGACCCCACACAGGTCCCCTGTGTGGGCAGACAAGGAAACAGTGGCACCCTGGGTGCCGTGGCTGTGTGCACCTGGCGGAGGCCCTGGGGCCCCCGGGGCAGTGGGCCCAGGCCTGAGCCAGCCCCCCTGATGGCCCCCTGACCCGGGCTCCCAGCTTGGCCCTGGTTGGCCTGGCCTGTGCCAGTTCCCCTTACAGCTCGTCCTTTTAGCTTTAAATAGGTCAGTCAGCACCTTCGGCAAGTCCCTAGTGCAGCCAGTCCCCAGTGCTTTGGAGACCGTGAAGGTAGAAGACCCTCCTTAGTGTCTTAGGCTGTTTGAGATGCTAAAGCAAAGTACCCTGACCTGGGTGTCCTGCTGCAGTCCTGGAAGCTGCATGTCCGCGGCCAGGGTGCTCTCAGGTTGGGTCTGGGGAGGCCTGTTTCCTCGTTCGTGCACGGCACCTTCTTGCCGTGTCCTCATGTGGTGGACACATGATGAGTCCCTTTTACGAGGCAGTAACCCAGTTCCTGGGGCTCCACTCCATGGCCCATCCCTCGTGCCATCCCCATGGGTTGGGATTTCCACAGGTGAACTTTGGGGTGGGCATTCGGCCCACAGTAGTGGGTGACCGTGGGGGTGGCCTGGGCCGTGGCCTTGTGCTGCACAGCCTCAGGAGGGCGCCTTGAGTGCCAGTGCACACTGTCTCTGATGCCTTGGAACAGCCGTCTCGTCCCTGTGCTGGCCTCCTGCTGGCCCTGCCTCCCCTGTGCAGTGACCGTCCCGTGGTTCCAGCTCTGGGTCTTTGGGAAGGTGAGATGGGCAGCTCGGGGCTGCATGTGGACTAGGGCCGAGGGATGGCTGTAGAAGGAGAGCAGCCCCTGAGCCCTGCTGGGACCCATCTGGGTCCCAGATGCCAACCAGGAAGTCCAGAGGGCTGGGCCCATGTTGGGGGTGCTGAGTGCCCCCTGCGTCCATCTCCTGTTCTTGGCTGCAGCTCCTTCTTCTATGCCTTCGTGAACCTCCTGGTCAGCGCCTTCGTGGTCTTCCTGGTCTTCATTGCCAGCACCATTGTGAGCGTGGGCTTCACCATGTGGTGTGACACTGTCACTGAGAAGGGCACTGTGCCCCACAGGTATGCTGCCCCCTGCTGTGTCCCTGGAAGACCTTTCCCCAGCCTTGCCTGTGCCCCAGGGATCTTCCCTCTGAATCCTGTCCTGGTCTGCAGCTTGGCCCTCCCCCCCCATGCCCCCACCTGTGCACAACTGGTCGCCCCTTCTGGGAGCCCACCCCCTCCTTCCTGGCTAGGAGAGCCACCAGGGGTTGGAGGACCCTGGAAAGCTCAAGGTGGCCATGCAGTCCGAGACCCTGGGGTCTTGCCCTGAGCTGCCTGTGGGGGACAGAGGCTTGGGTCCTGGTGGGGTTGGAGGTCTGGCAGGGTAGGGGGTGGAGAATAGAGTAGAAGGCTCTGGTGGGGAAAGGTGGCTCCCTGGCGGGTCAGGGACCTCTGTGATCAGGGCAGCCACTTGGCTGTGACCTGGGGCAGCCTCTGACTATCAGGGTGCCCAAAGTGGAGCATGTGACTGCCCATATCCCTCCGGGATACTTCTGCCCAGCCCTAAGAAGGCCCAGACCTGGGAAGCAGGACCTCAGGTCACCTCTTCCGGAGGCTCCACATTCTTTCTTTAAGAAAATCAACTCTGGAACCTGATGTCTAACTAGGTGATGCAGACCTGGGCACATTGCCTGCCTGACTTCTGTGTGTCCAGTGGTTATCCCAGGCCAGGCTGGGGTGGGTCTGCGGGTTCCTCTCCCCAGAGCCAGTCCTGCTGTGCTGATGGGGGTGGGGACCTAGAGGCTCCCCCTCCCCCGGGCGGACGGCCCTCAGCACTTGGGCGCGGTGCTCCCTGCTCCCTGCCAGCCAGTCTGCCACAGAAATCACCCTCCATACCCACGCCTTGCGTTTTAGCTGTGAGGAGTTCCAGGACATCGACTTGGAGCTGAGTGTGGACAATTCTGCCTTCTATGATCAGTTCGCCATCGCCCAGGTAGGGTGGGGCCATCACTGCCGGTTACTCGTGGATCTCTCCCCAGGGAGGAGCAGGCCCAGGGTAGCCTGCAGAAGCAGAAGGTGCACCTGGAGGGGAGGGCAAGGTTCCTGGTGGCTGGATGGGGTGTGGGGAGGTGGGACTGGAAAGGGGCGTCACGTCCTGGGTTTGAAGGGAGGGGTCTGTGTTCTGGACAGGCCTCAGAGCGCCCTGTGCAGGTGGGTGGTGCAAGGCCCAGGGTCATCGTGGAGCAGAACAGGAGGCCATTGTGGTGTCCCAGGTGTCCCTGTGCACGGGAGGCTCCTACTCTGCCTGTCTGCCCTGCCAGCCCTCACTGGGCTCCATGCTGGGCATCCTGTTGGCTGGACACATTGGTGGTCAGTGGGGCCCCAGGCAGAGCCTGGAGGTGAGGATCTTTCTGAGGTGACCTGAAACGGTCACAGACAGTGACATGTAAATCCAGCAGAAGATGCTTCGGGCCTAATTTGTGCCAGTTAGATGGTGTGGGGACAGACGTGCTCAAAGGGGAATCGGGTAGACGTGGAGCCGGCCTGGAGCTGATTAAATTGTTCTCTTTCAACTGTTTGGAAACAGCAGATAAAGGTCAGTTTATTCCAGTGGCTGGAGGGGGTCCTGCGGTGTGCAAGCTCCTTGGAGCTGAGCAGCCCCAGCTGCTGGGGAGATGTGGCCCTGGCTCCTCCCCAGGGACCCCCTCCCGGGGGAGAGAATGGAATCCACAGGCTCCTTCACAAACTTGGCTCTGGAGGGGGCTGCAGAGAGGAGCCTGAGGTCCCCAGGCCTCTCAGCACATGTCCTCACTCACAGAGTGGGACACTTGGCAGGGTGGGTGCGGGCTGTGCCCTGACGCTGCCCTGCTCTCTGTGCAGTTTGGCCTCTGGGCGTCCTGGCTGGCCTGGCTGGCCATCACCATCCTGGCCTTCCTGAAGGTCTACCACAACTGCCGCCAGGAGGACCTGCTGGACAGCCTGGTCCACGAGAAGGAGCTGCTGCTGGCCAGGCCGGGCCCCCGCGCCTCCTTCCAGGGGGAGAAGAGTGCTGTCATCTAGGCTCCCCGCTGGCAGGGGCGCCGACCCCAGGATCCTTGCCCATCGTCCTGTCCTGGGGGAGCAGCTGGGATCCCTGCCCGGGCCCCCACCCCTGCCAGCGCCGCCCTGCATGTGTCCCCCCGCCCTGCCTGCTGTGAGGTGAGCACCCCGATTCCCACCCAGAGCCTGGCAGCGGCTGGCTAGGCAGCAAAGGGCCAGGGGCTGCCAGGCTTCACGCAGCACTCGGCTCTCCTCCTGGCCAGGTCCCCGGGTCCCTTTGCCACTGGGGCGGCTGGTCCACACTCCGCCTCTGTGTGACTGTGCGTGCCTGTGGGCGTGTGGACAGGGGGGTGCAGGTGCAGAGCAGCTGCCCAGGAGGGTGCTGCTGTCCCCTCCTGCAGATTGCAGCCCAGGCCTCAGAGCCTGGCCAGCCCGGCCCACAGGAGCAGGACGCAGGCAGGGAGCCCGGGCTCCACGCTGCGCTCGGTGGTGAGCGCTGGTGGTGGCTGCGCAGCCCTGCAGGAGAGCCCGGTCCTCCCTGGAGGGCATGTTCCTCTGTGACCTTGTTCCAGGGGCTGGGACCCCACGTGGAAGAGCCCCCCCGCCCTGGCCTCCGTGAGCCAGTTGCCCTGAGCTAGTCCACGGGCTCCCTCTGCACTGCCATGCCCTTCTGGAAGGGAGAGCCCAGCCGTGTCCAGCTCTCTGCTGTCCACCAGTGACTGCTGTGTTTCAGGCGGAGGGTAGCTCAGACCCACCTGGGGAGGCTTGGTGAGCAATGGGAAGCAAGGCCAGCAGGGACTTGTCAGGACACTCTGAAGGCAGGTGCCAGTCCAGGGGAAGTCCAGGCCAGGTGGGGCAGGTTGCTGCCAGCCCAGGGTTCAGCTGGGAGTTTCCCGCAGGTACTCAGGGGACAGTATTGTGACAGTCTGAGGTTCCCAACGCTGCTCTCCTCCTGGGCCCCTCACATCAGCCCTAGTCCACTGGACACAAAGACCCTTCCCAACCCCAAGGGTCCTGGTCTGTCTCCCCAACACAGAGTGGAGTGGCTCCTGCCTCACTCTGCCCCGGGTACAGCCCCCGGGACCCTGGAAGGAGGAGAGAGGGACAGGGCAGGGGACAGGGCAGCTGGCCAAGGGCAGCCGCTGTCAGCGCTGTGTGGACCTACGTCCGCCTGCACTGCATGGCTCTCCAGACACCTAGGCCCTGGGGGTTCCAGGAGGGGGCCTTTGACCTGGGTGCTGGCCTGCCGTGGGCCCTGGGCCCCTGGGGGCTGTGGTGTGGGTCCCCACAGTGGCTCCACTGCAGACTGCTGTTGAGATGCCTGGACTCCTCCCTGGCTGTTTTCAGGGGGGCACCTTATTTTAATTTTCCTTCTGGCTAAACTGAAAGTGAAGATCTTGAACCTCCACATGTCTCTTTCTCCAAGTCAAAATAAAAGCAAACCCTGTCTCCACTGCGGATGAGGGCTTGTCATGTCTCCTGGCTGCCTCCCCCAGCCTCCCCCAGCCTCCCTGTTCCCGTGGCTTTGACTGCCTGCAGTCTGTGATTTGAACCGCTGCATCCTGGGCTTGTACTGTCAGTTTCAGGGGCTTATCAGGAATGGCCTTCTGGGCACAGTGGGCCTCACGCCTGCATTTCAGGGGTCTGAGTCTCACGGCCCCTGGGTGACCCCTTGGGTGTTTGGACAGATTTGAGGGATTCCTCTAAGTCCTTGTTTGAGCAACATTTATTACAAAAACAGCTGGGATGGCAGTTCTGTGGGCCTGAGAGCTGGACACCTCTCTCTGCCATCTTTGCAGTGGACAGCTGGCTGTGGGGAGGGGGCCCAGCCCCCTTCCAGCCCTGACCCAGAACCAGGTTGAGAGGCAGCCCCTGCCCAAGGGCTGAGCCTGGGCCGTGAGCCTCCTCTCAGAGCCTCCTTCTCATCTGCAGTAGGGGTGGGGTCCTGCCTGTCCTCCGAGGGTGGGTGAGGTGGCACGGGTCTGGGGACGGCTGGGCTGGTGCAGGGAAGTGGTAACCAGGGGTCCCCTGACCCTGAAGCTGCAGGAAACCCTGGAGACCCCTACCCATGGTCTCTGAGGCCTGGGGGATCTGTCCCCTAAGCAGTAGAAGAGAGTGAGCTGGGTGTCCAGGTAGGACTTGCCTCAGTGTATCCCCCCATTCAGGCCAGGGTCCCCACTGGGTCGAGGGAGGTGAGGCCCAACAGCTGGCAGTTGGATCCGTCCTCTGACGGACTCTCACAGTGGATCCCAACACATAAAACGGCGGGGAGGTGACGCTGGGCGGGGCAGTGCGTCTCCCGTCTGGCCTCCAGTCAAGGTGGTCACTGTCCCTAGGTCCCCCTGCCAGGAGTCCTGGGTTTGCCAAGCAAGCTGGCAGGGCTGTATCCTGGTCCTGGGGCCCGAGGACTGCCTGACGCTCTACCCTAACCCTCATCTACCCAGGGCTGTCCAGAGGGGACGTCCTGGCTGGCCACTGGCCAGACACCCAGGAGGCAGTGCCAGCAGGCCAGGAGCACGTGCCACAGGCGCATGAGGAGGACAAGGAGCCGGGCTCGGAGGTCCTCCAGGGGTGTGGCAATGGACTTGGCCCGGCCACAGCACAGGCCCAGAGCTGCCCCGAGCAGGACGCACACGGAGAGCCGCAGGAGCAGGGAGCTGCCGCCCGGCAGGCGCTGGAGCAGGGATCTGCGGCGGGGCAGGCGCCGGCCCGACACTGTGGGCCGAGGCGGGGCGGGTCAGTTGTGGCCTGTGCCCTGACCCTCTTGGGTGAGGACTGGCCAGGGGCTTCCCCTTGGAGGGAAAGGGATGGAAGGAGACCCAGGCTGCCGGGCCACTGTCCTGTGCCCATCAGGATGGACATTTGGGAGGGTTGGGGGTGACTCCCAGAGTCCCTATGGGATGGGGATCCCCACTCCTGGCCAGAGGCAAACTGCTCCCCAGCTGTGTGCACCAAGGACCCCAGTGTGGAGCCTCAGCTTTGGAGCAGACAGGGGAGATGGGGGCATGGGGACAAGATGTGGGGCCGGGACGTGCAGGAACTCTTTGTGGGTGGAGGCCCAGAGCGCTGGGCAGATGGGGCTTGGGCTTAGAACTCACCCTTGACGGTGTCCCTGGTGTCCCTGCTGGCGATGTCTAGGAGGGAGAGCACAGATCCCTCAGCCTGCAGGGCGCCCAGCCCTGCTTGTCTCTCCCCCACCCCAGCCCAAAGGACCAGCAGCCACCCAGCCCCAGACAGGGCCCACTCCTCAGGGCCCTGACCCTGCAAGCACAGTGGGATGGAGAACAGTCCTCGCCCATCAGCAGCTGCCCCACTGACCACGACCCTGTGTCCATGTGACCTCTTGCCCAGGCTTTACTGGGGGTCTACCTGGGAAAACAGAACAGGGACTGTTGCCCCTTCTGGTGGTCCAGGGTCCTGCCAGAGCTGTGTGGGCACTGCGGGCACCACCCTCTCCCAGACCCTGATGCTGGCCCACATGCCCTCTTACAATGAATGGCCGCCTCCAAGGGCTCTCGGAACCGTACGTGCCTGGAAATCCTCTGTGGGTCGGCCCCGTGAGGCCCTTGCTTGGGCTGGCCGCGTCTCAGGATGGAGCGGGGCTGCTTCCTGTCACTGTCCTGGCCAAGAGTGGGAAGCAGGCAGCAGTGAGCACATTTCAGCAGAGTCCTCACTGTCCCCTGGGCTTTAGGCAGAGGGACAGGTGTGGAGACCCCAGAGCTGCCCTCGGCCCCCCACCCTGCCAGTTGCTCTTACATGGAACCCGGACAGTGCTGAGCAGGCAGGGCAGTAGCCAGCAGGCCCCTGTCCAGCCCACACTCCGTGCCTCCCAGTCCGAGTGGGGCACAGCAATGTTTGCATGTTAATAAGAGGAATAACCCATCCTAAGGTGACCCCATGGTAACCGGCCACTGATGGAGGACTTTCCGCCCCAGGGTTGTGAGCCTGCCCTGAGTCCCACTGAGTTCCTGCAGGCTCTGTCGCGGGGCCCCAAAAACCAGGCATGGAAAGGCTGATGACCAGGGATCAGGCGGGGAGGGATGGGGGTACAGAGCTCCACCCTGCCCAGAACCCCCGCATACAGATGAGGGGCAGGGCCTGGACAGGGCTTGGGGACCCACCAGCAAGGCGTGGGGCACCTCTTCCCTGAGGGGAAATGCCAGCCCTGGCCCCTTCCTCCGCATTATCTCTGGCTGCTGTTCTGGCCCCAGTAGGGACTCGGGGGACATGGAACATGGGGATGGCGTGGGGAGGGGCCCTGCTTAGGGGGCCAAGATAGTAAGTTCCACCCAGCTCCACGGGGCTGGCTGTGGCCTTGCCTGGCCACTGGGGCCTCTCCCTCGAGGATCTCAGCCTCCCTTTCTGCGTCAGCATGTTCCCAGGCTGCTCCGGGGTGAGCAGGAAGGCAGCTGTGCACCCACGTGCCCACCCGGGGCTGCCGCCCACCTGCTCCGTTACCAGCTCATCTGCCCAGCCCCAGGTTGGAAGATGAGCTCCTGGCCTCTGTGGGCCCCAGTGTCTTTGTCTGCGCACAGGGACAAGAGGCTGCGGGCCATCCCCAGGTTCTCCCAGCTGGGCACCACCACCGCACACAGCCTGCTGCTCTGGGGTGAGGGAGGCTGCCCTTCAGGGCACTGGACCTGGCAGTGAGCTTAGAGCCTCCGTTAGGCCTCAGGGCCTGAGGTCTGGGTCCCTCCTGCTTGGACGTCCCCGATCCTGCTCTGTGGAGAACTCCCTTGCTGCCACCCCCTCCAGGTCCCATCCCTGTTCATCCTGGAGGACGCTTGGTGACGGCCTCAGGTGTCCTGTCTCACCTGCTCCCTCGCTCCAGCACTGGCCTTTCTGCGCTCCTCAGCTCTGTCACCTTCCACGGCTCCCACGTCCCCTGCCTCCATCCGGCCCCCACCCTGCCAGTTGCTCTCACATGGAACCGGTCAGTGCTGAGCAGGCAGGGCAGTGACCAGCCCCCTGCCGCTGACCTCTTCAGTCTGGCCATCTCCCACCCCCGTGCTGCTTCCGTGCCTGGGATCCTGGCCTGAGGCTGTGTGCCCACCTGGTGCCTCCTCCCCAGACCAAGCGCTTCAAGGTGGCCTCCCTACCCCACCAGGCCCCAGAGTTCCCCTCCTGCTGTTCCTGGGGCAGAGGACACCTTCAGAGCAAGAGTGGGGACCCTGCCTTCCCCACTGCCCCCGCCCCAGGGGACACTGTGTAGCGGGACGTCTCTGGCAGCCCGCCTCACCCTTTCCGCCCTGGGCACCTGTGAGCCCCACGTGGCCTCATTTCTTCTGGGCTGACGTCGGGGCCCTGGCTGGGGGTCGGGGTGCGAGGCTGGCACCGTGGTCTTCATTTACTGGAACATGGTCCTAGGACAGGAGATGGTTCACTGCATGAGCAGCGCCCCCCGTTAAAGACAAAGGGATGAGGAGACGATTCCTGGGAAGCCAGGCTGGCTTCCAGCTCCGGCCGGCCTCGCCCAGCCTGTCCGCGGCCCTCCTGCCCAGCACAGACGAAGCCTGTGCCCTGTGTGCTCAGAACTGCTCCTGCAGGCAGTTCCTCTGCTGCTGCCTGGTCTCCATCACCCTCGTCTTTCTGGCTGTATAATACTCCTCAGGGCATAATACTGCCCTGATTCGCACCTACCCACCTGGCAGTGTGCCTTCTGTCATTGTCACTGTGTGTCTCTCTGCATCGCCTCTCTCAGCAGGGTGGCTCTGGCTCCCACGAAGGGTGGAGCTTTGCAATGCCAGGGCTCAGCGGGCCCTGGGAAAGGCTCTTCCAGAGGGTCCTGCAGCCGTCCTGCTGTGCCCCTGAGCTCCTGAGCCCACCCCTGCACTGGCCAGGTTTGTCCCTGCTGCTGTCTGTCCCTCTACCCTCTGTCCTTCTGTCTTTGTCTCTGGTTCTTTGTCTCTAAGCACATCTCTCTCTCCTTGCCTCTCTGTCTGTCTCTGACCTGTCCCTCCCTGGGTCACGCTGCTCACTTCCTGGTACAGAGGCACCTCTTGTTCCACCAGTGTGTCCCCAGTTGCCAGGAGCTGTCAATGTCCCCTGTGCCTTGCTCAGGGTGGCTTCCCAGCACAGATTTCCTTCTTCCATAGCCTTGGCTGGGCCTTGACCTCTAAGGTCTCCTGTCCTGCTCCAGGTGCGGACGCCACTGGGCATCCCAGCAGGGGCAGCTGGACATCAGCCCTCCCAGGCCTGGGGCTGCCGAGCACACCTCCCTACCTTCTCAGGGGAAGTGAGGTCAGAGAGGGCAGGAGTGTCCCTGGCCACACAGGCTGACACAGGGCTGCTGGGGGCTGGTCCTCCCGGCTCCTTCCCAGTTAGATGGGTGGCTTGGGGCCGTCTGCCCTCCTCCACCCTGCCCAGGCTCTCCCAGGGCCCTGATGAGGGGCATTTGATGGGCATTATTGCCCTCCGGGTGGTGGCAAAACTTGAATTTCATGAGAAGCATCCTGGTTTCTGTGGACCCTCCCGGGCCCTGTCCCTGAGGGCTGGGAACAGGCTGGGGGCTTCCCCTGTCCCCGGCTGCCTGGAGGGGTGAGGCTGGGCCGCCTGCAGCCTTCCTTCTGGGAGAGAGCTGGCTCCTGGAGCCCTGTCGGACCTGAGCATGGGGGGAGCCGACACACCCTGACATCCACACCACAAGGCCCGCCAGGCTCGGTGACCTGACGGGGAGCGCTTTCTCCCAAGGTGGCGTCAGGTTTTACTGCAAACAGGGCTGAGCAAGGAGCCGGGTGCAGGAGCCAGCATGTCTACCCACGCTCAGGGAGGGCCTTCTGCTAAGAGGCTGTGCAGCCTCAGTGCCCAGGGCTGAGGCCATCGGAATTCAGGCCCACGTAGCCTCCAGGCCAGTGCTGTCACAGAGCACCAGGCTGTTCTGTTTGGGGACACTGCCTGGCAGGCAGCCTGGGCAGCATCTGCAGAGAGGGTGCTGGACCCAGTTCACACTAGGGAGGGCCTGGAACTGATGAAGCCCTGCCAGGTTGTCAGAGGCTGGGGTCAAGGGTGGGCAGGAACCTTGTCAGTCTCCTGGGCCCGGAAGGGGGAGCTATGGGCTCTTTGGCTTCTCCTGTGGCTGCACAGACTGGGCACCCCAACCCTGCAGCCAGCCTGCCCAGGTCATGCCCTGCACTGCCTTGGAGAGCAGGCTGGGTAGGCCAGGGCCACCCCAGGCAGGGCCACACCAGGCTGGGCCACACCAGACTCAGCCCCTTGGCCGCATGGTCAGGAGATCTGTGGTGCACTGTCCTTGGACAGGGCTCTTTGGGGGATTGCAGGACGACATGTGCGTGTGAGTATGTCTGTGTCATATGTGTGATTATGACAGTAGCCACACGTGGGAGAGCTTGTGTGTCCCTGGGAGTGCCCACATGTGTGTACATGTGAGTGAATGTGATGGTGTATGTTGATGTGGGAGAGCGTACACCTGCCAGGATTGAATGCACACTCACTTGTTCCTATCTGCAACTGTGTGTGCATGTGTGCACGGATGTGATTGTGTGTGTCTTATTTGTGTGTGCATGTGTGTCTGTGCATGCAGATGTGACTGTGTGTGCCTGTAGGTGTGTCTGTGTGGTGTGTACACGTGGTGTGTAAGCACGTGATGAGTGTGTGCAGCGTGTTTTGCGGGTGCTGGGCTGTGACCTTGCTGGTTGGGGGTAGGGCTCTGGAGCTCCTCATGTGGCCACCTGTGACCTTGAGTGAGACTCAGCCTCCCGTGACCTTGAGTGAGACTCAGCCTCCCTGGGCCTTGACCTGCTCCCTGGTTGACGCCAGCAGCCTTGGCAGCTGCGCCTGGACCCTGCCGGGTGTAGGTGGGCTGTGTCACAGCAGATCCCAGCTGGTGCATCTGCCCCGTCGTCCCTCCTGGGAGAGTGGATGCCAGGCACGGGGACAGCCCCTCCCCCATGGCCTACGGCCCCTCTGGAGCTGTGCACTTCCCCTGGCTGCCCTCGCCCCTGCTCCCAGGAGGCCACCCACCCCTGTACAGGCAGGTGCTGCCTGGGCCCAGACCTCCCCTCCAGGAGGGGAGGAAGCTTCCTCAGGAAGCAGGGCTTTTGGTGTCCCCAGGCCTGGCGGGGTTCTGGTCTCTGTGACCTTGGTCATGTGAGTGAGCTCCTGGGGGCTCATGTCCCCAAGTGACGCAGCAGAGAGGTGGCCCTGGTATGCACAGTAGCAGGGGAGGCCTGCTTGTCCCCGCCCCCCAGCAGAGGCCTTGGTGGCAGGGACAGGGTGTAACTCGAGTGTACTTGCTCTGGGGCTGGCTGGTGACAGATGGGTGATAAAGGGTAGAACATAGTTCCTGGGGCCTGGGCCTGGGGAGTGTCACCGCCATGCCACAGTGCTGGGGAGGGTGCCTGTCTGACGGGTGCTGCCCCTCGCTCTGGTCCAAATGGGGCCCCAAAGACCCTCTGAGCATTCTTGGGGCTGGTCCAAGTGCCCCACCTCATCTTGAAGCTGTTGGGAGCTGGTGACAGCCCCATGCCCCGTCTGTCCACCTGCCATCCCTCCTCTAAGCCCCGGCCCCTCCCCGGCCTCCAGGGCCTGTGGAGGAAGGAGCTCACTGGCTGCTCTGCTCCCTCCGTGCCGCCCGCCTACCCCCACAGCCTGTCACCTGCATCTACATCCTTGCCCAGGGCGCTGGCCGGGCCCAGGTCCAGTGGCTAGCCTGTGCCGGCCCCAGTGCCCAGCCGGTGCTGCCAGCGGGCCCCTCCTCGGCTCTGACCACCGATGGACACCCTGTTTGGCACCCACAGCTGCTCCTCGTGTACCCCCACTCCGAAGTTGAGCCCGTGGGCATGCAGGACCCAGGCCCACAGTCCTGGAGGGCAGGTGCTCGGAGCCCGGTGAGTAGCGGGCTTTCCAGCTGTACCACCTCCAGGGCACTCTACGGGGGCTGGGGACGGGCCAGGCTCCTTGGAGACCTCCTGGGAGAGTGAGGAGGCTCGTGAGCCACACACACACACACACACACACACACACACACCCCACCTGGGCTCCGGCAGTGCTGCACCTGGCCCAGGGGAGCTGGCCCACCTGCTGCGTCCCACACGCTGCTGATCATCAGAGCCTCGGCCGGGCGGGAACCAGAGCTGTGAGGCGGCTCACAGGCGGGCGGAGAAGTTTCCATTACAGAAACACAGGCAGTGGCCTCAGCAGCCCTGAGGGCCTGGCTGCCCGGGGGCCTCTGAGCAGTGGATTGTGGGAGGCTGTCACCCCGGGGCTTGGGCCCCCACTGTCCCAGTCACCTAAGCAGTTTGGCTAGAGGAGCTGAAGCTGCAGAGCCAAGCTGTGCCTTCTCCCCGCTGGGAAGAAACAGGAAGCCAGGGACGCCCCACTGACCTTCTCTCTGTAGGTGGGGGGCCAAGCTGGGGTGCGGGGCACAGGGCTCCCAGGCAGGCAGAACCCGCAGGCAGCTCCCCAGACACACGCTTCCAACTTAAGCCGGAGGCAGAACTGGGGAGCCCCTGGCTGCTCTGTCCATGGCTGCGCTCACTCAGACACCTAATGGCCCTGGCTCGGGGGGCAGGGAGCAGGGCTGGCCTGGAGCAGCTCCCACCATCCAGGGGAGCTGGAGCCTCCGTGTGGCTGGGAGGCCCTTATCCAGCTTCTGCCCCAATGGGCTGGCTCCCGCCTCCCCAAGATGGCCGAGGCTCGGGCAGGGTGTAGGTGAAGGGCACAGGCTGGGGGTGTGGGTGAAGGGCACAGGCTGGGGGTGTGGGTGAAGGGCACAGGCTGGGGGTGTAGGTGAAGGGCACAGGCTGGGGGTGTGGATGAAGGGCACAGGCTGGGGGTGTGGGTGAAGGGCACAGGCTGGGGGTGTGGGTGAAGGGCACAGGCTGGGGGTGTGGGTGAAGGGCACAGGTTGGGGGTGTGGGTGAAGGGCACAGCCTCGGGCGGGGTGTAGGTGAAGGGCACAGGCTGGGGGTGTGGGTGAAGGGCACAGGCTGGGGGTGTAGGTGAAGGGCACAGGCTGGGGGTGTGGGTGAAGGGCACAGGCTGGGGGTGTAGGTGAAGGGCACAGGCTGGGGGTGTAGGTGAAGGGCACAGGCTGGGGGTGTGGGTGAAGGGCACAGGCTGGGGGTGTGGGTGAAGGGCACAGGCTGGGGGTGTAGGTGAAGGGCACAGGCTGGGGGTGTGGATGAAGGGCACAGGCTGGGGGTGTGGGTGAAGGGCACAGGCTGGGGGTGTGGGTGAAGGGCACAGGCTGGGGGTGTGGGTGAAGGGCACAGGTTGGGGGTGTGGGTGAAGGGCACAGCCTCGGGCGGGGTGTAGGTGAAGGGCACAGGCTGGGGGTGTGGGTGAAGGGCACAGGCTGGGGGTGTGGGTGAAGGGCACAGGCTGGGGGTGTAGGTGAAGGGCACAGGCTGGGGGTGTGGGTGAAGGGCACAGGCTGGGGGTGTGGGTGAAGGGCACAGGCTGGGGGTGTAGGTGAAGGGCACAGCCTCGGGCGGGGTGTGGGTGAAGGGCACAGGCTGGGGGTGTAGGTGAAGGGCACAGGCTGGGGGTGTAGGTGAAGGGCACAGGCTGGGGGTGTGGGTGAAGGGCACAGGTGGGGGTGTGGGTGAAGGGCACAGGCTGGGGGTGTGGGTGAAGGGCACAGGCTGGGGGTGTGGGTGAAGGGCACAGGCTGGGGGTGTGGGTGAAGGGCACAGGCTGGGGGTGTGGGTGAAGGGCACAGGCTGGGGGTGTGGGTGAAGGGCACAGGCTGGGGGTGTGGGTGAAGGGCACAGGCTGGGGGTGTGGGTGAAGGGCACAGGCTGGGGGTGTGGGTGAAGGGCACAGGCTGGGGGTGTGGGTGAAGGGCACAGGCTGGGGGTGTGGGTGAAGGGCACAGGTTGGGGGTGTGGGTGAAGGGCACAGCCTCAGGCGGGGTGTAGGTGAAGGGCACAGGCTGGGGGTGTGGGTGAAGGGCACAGGCTGGGGGTGTAGGTGAAGGGCACAGGCTGGGGGTGTGGGTGAAGGGCACAGGCTGGGGGTGTAGGTGAAGGGCACAGGCTGGGGGTGTGGGTGAAGGGCACAGGCTGGGGGTGTGGGTGAAGGGCACAGGCTGGGGGTGTGGGTGAAGGGCACAGCCTTGGGCCAGTCCTGGCGGCCCAGGAGTCTCAGAACACCAGGGGCTAGGATGTCCCTGAGTCCACTCTCCGGTTCCCTGTGCAGATGGGGTTCAGAGGAGCTGGGTGTTTCTGGGGCCACCAGCCCTGGTTTTCCTGAACTGTCCCCTTTAGGGAGCCCCTCAGTCTTGGGTGGAAAGCAAGGGGAGGTGGCCTGCTAGCCCCTGCCTCTGACTGCTGTCCACCCTGCGGGTTCCTGGCCTGCACCATCGTCTGTTCCTGAGCAGGAAGCTGCGTCCGCCTGCTCCCGGAGCTGGCTCTCTCACCTGGCTCCCTCCGGGGTCCTCGTAGCTCAGAATCAGCCCTGCTCTGCAGGTGCCAGCAGTGTCCGCTGTGTCAGGGATGGCAGAGCCCCTCCTGCCCACTGAGGAGGGGGGCCAAGGGCAGCCCCGCAGGGCACACAGGTGAAGGGCCTGCTGCCTCCCTCTGGCTCTGGCCTGGAGGGGCCACCGGCTTATCCACAGGACCCAGTTGGTGCGAGCTGCGTCCCTGAGCCTGGCCCCTCTGCTCTGTTGTGGAGTCTGTCCAGCTCTCCAGGGCTGAGCTGCGGTCACCTCTCCCCTTTGGCAGGAATAGCAACAACCCGAGGATAGGCCTCTGGCCTCAGATTGGGTGGGAGGTGGCTGTTCCCCAGGCCCCTGGTGGACAGCAGGCCAGGCCTGCAGACAAGGCCAGGGGTCAGGGCCACTGTTCCCTCCCCCTTGGCCCAAATGTGTCCTCCCAGGCTAGCTCCAGAGCTGTGTAGCTGACAGAAAGCCCAGGGCTTGAATGAGTGGATAAGTGAGGGTCGTGTGGGCTGTAGGGAGCCCAGCCCTGACGAGGCCCTGCTGCGGGGCGGAGCCCTGGGCTCGGGAGGGGCCCCCTTGGGCCCATTTCCTCTGCCCCACATGGCCCCAAGCCCTGAGGTTTCAGGGGAAAAGGGCAAAGGACAAGTCCCAAGCTGAGGGTTTGGGGCGTGCTGTCGGAGTCCCAGTAGTGCCTGGCAGGAGGAACAGCATCTGGGCCAGGGAGGCACAGTGGGAGTGAGGGGACCAGTGTCCAGGGTCTGCCCAGTGGGGCACACAGGGTTCTCCTTTATATCTGCTGCTTGCAGCTGTCCTGCTTGGCAGGTGTGATTGGCTCCTCATCTATATGAGGAAAGTGCAGCTCAGAGAGGCCAGGCAACCCACCTACTGTCACACAGCCAGGAGGAGGTGCTGGCTCAGGCTCAGTGGCTGCTGCTCAGTAGCCCCATCTGCAGGTGAGCATGGCATCCCCGGGGGAATTGGATCTGAGGGGGGCTTTGTGGGCTGCCCCAGGCATGAGGTCTGCAAGTGGGCAGACCTCTGGGTGACTTATGGGGTTCAACTGTTTTGAGGGACAGTCGAAGGACAGTGGAGACACCTGTCTCATAATGTTCCCTGGAAGCATATCCTGCTTAGGTACAGCTATGGGATCCCTGAGCCTGGGTGTGCAGGATGGGAGGGGCAGGGTGAGGGGAGGGACGATGTCCAGGCCACCAGGGGCCACAATGGCCACAGACGCCTGGACGTACCACCCATGCCCATGCAGGGGTGCTGGGGGGGCACTCCCTGGCTAACCCTGGGGCAGGTGCAACTTCCCCTGTAAGGGCAGGTGGTCAGTTCCTTGCTCCCTGGGCCACACTGAACTCTGCCCTCAGACATGGGGATCTGGCGTGTCTGTGTCCCAATAAAGCTTTATTCACAAAGACCAGGTGTCCAGCTGGCCCAGGATGACTTACTGACCCTTGTTCCAGGGAGACCGCCTAGGAGCCTAGGAGGGTGGGGGCAGAGGGAGTCCTATGCAGCAGGGACATGTAGGAGGACCAAGGTCTTGACGCCAACAAAGCCCAGATCCCGGCTCAGCTCTGACCCACCAAAGCCGGAGCTGTTCCCACTGGGCACAGAGCGGGGAGCCCTGGGCAGCTCCTTCCGGTCCTGTCCTTTGACCAGAGAAGGAAGGGCTGGCCCAGGCCTTGGGAGCTGCCTACTGCCTGCTCTCTCTGGAAAGGGAATGCCACCACTGTCCCGTGGCCATTTGCTCCGGGTGATTTGTTATGCCCACAAAGGCCCAGCAGCTCTTGATGCCCTTGAGCCCTCTGGTCCCCGCCAGCCGTATCCCCAGCCCCATCTGATAAGGCTTGTCCTGTGCCCTCCACCGATGGCTGCTCGATCAGGACGCCACCGGGCCTCCTCGGGGTGGGTCTGAGCTTCAGGGTGCACACAGACACTGAGAGATGCCCCTGTTCTGTGCCAGGGATGGGTGAGGGGCCAGGCCCTGCCATCTCAGGCCTGCCCACGGCCAGAGAAGGGTTCCCATGCCTGGGCAGCCACACCATCAAGGATGAGGAGCCCCAGATTTGGTCCTGACTCTGCCACTGTCCAGCCAGGTGACCCAAGCTGTCCCCTGTGTGGGGGGAATGACTGGAGTCCCATGCCAGCCTGCACCCCTCAGTGGAGGGGTTTCCTGTTCAAGTCTCCTGGGGGGCAGCAAGCCAGCCCCAGGGACAGAGCACACAGAGGTCTCCAGAGGACATGGAGGTCTCTGCAGAGCAGTGGACCCTCTGGTGTGAGGACAGGGATGGAGCTGGGGCTGGTAGATGGGGTCCTAGGGCCCCTGGGGCTGGAAGAGAAGGGAGAGGACTCTCACTGCCAGTCACCAGGCCCAAAGGGACAAGGGGCCAAAAGTCACCACCGGCCATGGTCACCTGGTCACAAGTGGGCCCACCAGCATACCTTGGTGGGTGGGAGGAGTGTAGCCTGAGGGTTGGGGTCCAGGAGAGAAGGAGGGGGAGGAAGTGGGACAGCGTAGGCTTTGGGTTGGAAGGCAGAGGCACCGTCCCAGCAGGCGGTGGACCTGGGTTGGGACCCATGGCTCCACAGCCCTCTGTAGGGCAGGGGTGGGGAGCATCCACCCCAGAACTGGCCAAGGGAAGGATCTCAGATAGTGGGCAGTGAGTCCTCTGCCACTGGGCAGGCAAAGGATAAGGCTGCCTTGAGGACTCTCGGGGACAGTGCACGGTATGGGAGGGCACGCAGGACGGGGAGCATGTGCCTGCTGCTCTCCCTGCTGCCCCGTGGCTTGCCTGGCACACGGCCAGAGCTGTGGCACTTTTCTGGCTTTCAACTTCAGCTAAGGGTCCTGCTTGATCACCACTGGCCATGGGGTCAACTCCCTCTACTGTGGAGCGGGCAGCTCATCATTCTGACTGAAGCAGGGACCTTTGACAGTTAGGGCTGTGTCTGGCCACCCCTGCAGAGCCAGCCCTTAAGGAGGCCAGGATGCCAGCAGCGCCTGGCCAGAGCGGGAAGCCCGACGTCCCGCTCAACCCGGGCTAGCAGGAAGCACTGGACCCCGTTGAAACTAACAAAAGGGCCCCTTTCGCTCCTGCTAAATTATTCATGACCTCCAAGAGGCCGTAAATGTCCTCGGCTCTCTACAGGGGCCATAATTACAATGATAAATTTTATTTATGAAGTCAGTGCCTCCCTCGAGCTGGCTGCCTGGGGGGCTGTACATAAGCCATAACCGAGACGCCCCGAAACCTGCCGCGACAGCTGTTTCTCCGGCTGGGCCTTGGGGGCCGCAGGAACAGGCAGGGAATGCCAGGGCAGGGGTCTCCGTCTGTCCCCTGACCTGCAGAGGGGGCGGTGTGGGGTCCTTTTGGCTATAGGGGCAATCACAGGGTGGGTTCTGGGTCCAGCCTGGGGGACAGTGGACCTGGGCCCCGTGGCGGGTGCCCTTGCCCCCTGCCCTTGGTCCCTGGGCCTGAGGACCCACTGAGGGGGCCTGGCTTTGGCTGCTCCCAGCTGAGCTTGCACACAGCACACACCCTGAGTTCTCACACCAGAGTTGTGCCCTGTGCAGGGCTCAGGTATAGGCAGGGCCCAGGCGCCTTGGTGGGCAGAGCAGGGCGTGTTTGCGGGTGCCCAGTGGGCACCCCTGCATGCTCCTCTCTGCCCCACCAAGCCTGCGTTTTGGCCTCGTGGGCTGCAGAGGACGAGGGCTCTTAGAGGCAGGACCCTGCCCCTGGCCAGAGGAGGCTCCTGCTGAGCCTGATGAGGACCAGGGCAGGGGGTGTGGCCTTGCCCCGCCCCTGTGCACACGGCTGCTGGGCGCAGGTCAGGAGACTCATTAGGAAGAGCTGAGAGCCTGGTAGGGCCCCCTGCTGGCCTCTGACCTGGGCTGTTGATTCCAGATGAGCATAGTGACCCCTCTCCATCCATGCAGGTTGTAGAGGGATGGGGGACTTCACGTTGAGATGGCAGGCGGGGCAGGCAGGGGGGACAAGTGAGATTGGTCCTCCTCATTGCTATCATGACAGCGACTGGACAGCCCAGCCTGGGTGCCCTGTGGCCTTGCAGCCCAGGTGGTATGGCCTTGCCTGGGCATCTTGAGGCTCTGCACCCACGTATGGCCTGCAGCTTCCCAGACCTTTCTACCCTCTGCCGGGAGCCTCCTGGGCTCTTGGCAGATAAGTCTCTGGACTTGATGGGAACCGCCCACTGGGAAGGAGAGGTGTCCAGATCTGAGAGCTGTTGGAGCTAGGGCCTGAGTGGCCTCAGTGCATGGCCAGGAGCCACACCCCTGGGCCCAGCAGTACCCATGCACGACCTTGCACTGTTAGGGGCCAGACAGAGGAGCAGGGTCAGGACACGAGGTGAGAGAGGGATTCTGTAGATGGTCCACGGTGCTGACCCCCATGGGCTTTCTTTTCCAAGAAGCCATTTACCTGCAGCCCAGCCTGGTCTGGTGACAGGCTATGTCACATTCCTCAGCCAACTACCTGTTAACTGCAGGAGAAATGCAGGCCCAAAATAATGTCGATGGGAGGAACCCAAGTCACCCTGAAGCTGACCAGATCCTGAAACTCTGGGAGATAAGGGTACTTCCTCCTAACCATAAAGTCTGCAAGAATATATGGTTAAGAATCCAATTAGAACCAGTCAGTGTGGGCCAGGTGACCTACAATGGTCATGGCAATGGGGACTTAAAATCTGATGTCTTCCTGCTATCTGTCAAAGTCAAGAGGGGGACCTGGGTGGGACACTCTGGGTGGGACACTCTTCCCAGGGATCCCCAATAAAGCTGGAGTGCAGGAGAGGCACAATGTTCCTCTCCTCTCTGAGGACCCACTGTATCTCTTGGGAGTGTCCCCTTTCCCTTTCCTATTCCTTCAGTAAACTCATTCCTGTTACTCTGAGCGACGTGGCTGAAATCTTTCTGACTTGGTCTCAACAATCAGGGATGGGGGGTCTTCACGCTGCCTCAGTTTCCCAGAAGGCCCAGGGGCCAACTGTCTTCATGACATGGTGCTTGACCCAGTCAATGCTAGAGATATCAGGGCTGGTACCACATCTGTGTGGCGCCCCCTATTGGCCCCCCAGGGAGACCCAGGGCATGGGCCTTCAGGGCCTGGCACAGGGCCTGCCACCAGGATCTCCCTGCTGCTGCCAAGTTCTAATGTCACGAGATGCTAGATAAGCCACGGGATTCACCCCTCACAGGCCAGGAATTGTCAGGGGACTGGGCCTGCACAGCCCGGAACCTCGGCCACCCACCCCGTGGACAGTCATGACTCGCTGCTAAGGGGGAGAAGCTCTGGCCCCAGGTGGCTGCCCCAGCAGAGGGCAGTGACCACACACAAGGGGCCCCTCAGCCATGGCCTGAGGGCCAGGGTGGGCACCTTCCAGTGGCAGGGTGTGAGCCCCACAGCCCAAGGGGGTGAGGGACACAAACTCCTGGGCCGCAGCAACCAGCCTGGGGGAGTCTGGGGGAGCAGGTTGGGAGGAGAGGTCGAGGAGGCCCCAGGATGGACACGCAGGGTGGGCGCAGAGCGTGTGGCTCTGTCTCCTGCCTGCTGGACAGTGGAGAGGGCACAGCCTGAAAGAGGGAGGGTGACCAGGCTGGCCAAGTTCCTGGGCTACAGATGAGGAGGGAACAGTGGCTCTCTGACCCTAGCCCACCTCCCCTCTCCCCCACACCCATGCTGGGGGGCAGGGCAGGCGGGGGCAGGGCTGGGGGCTCAGCCCTTCCCTACTGATTCCCCGAGCCTGCAGGAGGTCCGACAGGCCCAGCTGAGCACTGGAGGCTGGGGTCCAGACCAGGAGGGGAGGCCTGCCAGGCCAGGGCAGCTGGGCAGGGACGGCTGGCTGTGTTCCTCGTCAGGGGGAACCAGCAGGTCTGGATGTGAGGACCTAGAGCCTGGCGACAGGCCTTTCTGACCCTGAGCTGAGAGTCCCTGAGAGAAGCTGGCCCCTGTCAGGTCAGCCCCAGGGTTTCCAAGGCTGACCAAGGAGCCTGCGCTCTCTCCCTCAGTCCTGCGCACACCCCACATCCTTCCTGTCACCCCAAAGGAGCCCCAGGAAGCCCTGACCCTCAGTGCAGACAGCCCCAGTTCACACCTGCACTGAGAGCCGAGTGTCCAGGCAGAGTCTCCAGGGGCTCTGATGGGCACACGGCCTTGCATGGATGGTGACCACCAGCGTCCTTCAATGGATGTGGGTGATGCTCTGAGGAGGGCCCCGTCTCCAGAGCTACACAGGACCATGGGTCTCCTTACTCGCAGGTGGGGACTGAGATGTGCCCACCTCTAGGGACATTCTGAGTGAACAGGACAGGTGCAGGTGACAGTGGGCCACTGTTGTCACTATGGCTGTTATGGGTGTTATTGGGCACTGCCCAGCACATGCCCCACAGGCCACATACCCACGGGCCACATGGTGTTGCTTTGGGACGTCCACTCTGCAAGCCCAGCTGGGCAGTGGGTGTGACTCCTGTTACATACAGCCCAGTGACTCCTCTGGGGCTGTGGGCAAGCGGGTCTGCAAATGGCCACTATGCTGAGGCTGCCTGAGGCACCTCCCACCGAGAGGCTGAGTGTCCAGCTGAGGGCAAGGGGGGCCGGGCTCACACCACCCTGCGCCTGTGTTCACAGCACTTAGGGTGTCCCTGAGGCTGACTCCCCCACCCACAGCCTTTGATCCTTTGACTGGGGGAGAGCAGTGAGCAAGTCCGGTGTCTGTCGCAGGGGTGTGGACGGCCAGGCACAGAGGGCCACGTTGGGCCTCGCCTAACCCCCCTCAGGGGAAGCGGGAAGTTTGCCTGGGGAGCCTTGGACAGAGGCCTACCCAGGAGTCCAGGTGGCACAACAAGGAACTAACTTAGATCCACCGGAGGAAGGAGCAGAAGAGCCTGTCTGGAGGACACAGAGAGATGTCCAGGGCCAAGCCCTCTCAGGAGACCTGTGTCCAGCCCGGCTTACCCTCGCCCCTCTGACCTCATGGTCCCCAGCAGTTCTGGCTCCCCATGTCCCCTGAGGGCCTCAGGACCCAGCAGGCCAGGACTAGGCCGCCCCAGAACCGCTCAGCTTGGCGTTTGGGGTGTGTT